TAATCTGCACATCCCGAATCGTAAGACTAAGTCATTCACACTTTGAACCGTTATTCAACATCAGTTTAGTCCTCGTAGAGTTTTACTGCGCTTTCCTCAAAACTGGACAACCCACTCACTTGGCTTGGCATGGCTTCTGTTTTGAAAGCAAAACATTGGCGTGACAGCCTTTGTTTAGACTTTTATGAAACAGTAACTTCTTGAGTGGTTTCTGAATAGCCCTGTGTCACTTACTTCCAACTAGGGCAATATGCTACACAGTTGTACAATTTTGAGACCGACCAGCTGAAGAGGACCAGCCACTGAGGGTATCTTTTTGAAGCTGACCTCTGTTCGACCGGGAAGCAATCGGATCTGTTATGGATTAATTAGAATAGAAGTAAACTAATTAAAGCCCAATATTTTTGATGTCACGCCATTTGTATGCAGCTTTCATCCTGTACACGAAATTCATCTATACCAGAAAGCTGAAATGCACTATTCAATGATTTTATCCTAAGGGGACATTTCATGAGTCCCCGGAGTGATTAGAACTCACAAATTCCGGATAATGACTGATGATTAAACAGTTTGAACATGAGCAGCCTATCGGACCTATACAGGATGTAGCGTCATTCATCCTTCAATTATGTCCCGTGGTCAGATATCGATTCGCTCCCGTCACGTGGAAGGTTCACCCGTCATCTGACGCTTTGCGTTGATTGGAGCGCATAAAAGCACTACTGGCTAGTGTGAAGTTTCGTTGGATGGATATCCAGTTATCTATCTCAGGGTGACTGCCACCCAAAAGTACTTACGCTTCCCAGGTTGGAAGATATGAAGTCTCTCTCAAAGGTCGGAACGCAGCTTATTGGTCGCATTGAAAACTCCCGCCATCAGACAGGATGTTGAGCTTGAGTTTCTTCCACAATTCTGAGAAGCGTACACACGTATGCTGACAAAGCTGTACGTGCCAAGGCATGAAGTTCTATAAGACTACTAACCGAAAACTCCCCAACATTGTGAGTAGTGCATTCAGTCGAGAAAATATGCCACGACACCTCGAATATCTTACGAACTGAAGCGCGAGAGGACTTTACGCGGCACATTTGGTCAACGAACACCAAAAACTTGAGACTCAGTTTGGATTCGGCTGAGTCTCGTCATTCCAAGATGTTGACACGTAGGCAACCCTCCCCCAAACTAACTGCGATAGGACAGACAGAACTACAGGGTATTCTGTCAAAGACTGTGTGAGGACGGCGATCTGAATCCACGTTTTTCTAAAAGAAGCTTCAGGACTAAGAAAACAACTCCACTTCTGTTTGGCCCCATGGCCGTCCATTTCTCTGAAGGGGGGCGATTTCCCCCATCTGTTCCACCTGACCTCACTCATTCTCAGTTTCTGGTGAAAAGTTCCTTTTATCCTCAAACTCGCGATTCAGTTTAGTAGAAGTCAATCACGGGAGCGGTTTATCAAACGCAGCAAGTATTCTGACCTTCGCATCAACACCTAGTTTAGAGGTATTCTACAGATGTCTCTCTACGTATCATCAAAGGGTCATTTCAGTTTTGTTAACCTAATCATGAATGACGTGGTTTATAATTACTTATTCACCATTTTTATGGACAAAAACGTGCATTGATCCACCCATTTTATATCCTCGGAAGCACATCTATTAATTCATATTTTTTTTTACATATTTCTTCAAAAGAGAGTGTAGCTATCTGGTCACCCACATACTTGACTGTTCAGCTCACATTCGCTCACCGGATCACGAGGCTTGTCCTTTTTTATACTCGCAAACCACGTCATAGTAAGGTGGCTCAGTCGATGGTCCGTACCGTCTAGTGAGCGCGCTAATGACTCATGTTCTGACGCGCCCACGTATATGCAAACGGACCTACATATAAGGAAACCGAACACAGTCAACAGACACAGACTTGCGCGCGCGCAGGGAGCAGGAAGTCAACCACTCTCCACAAGTCCACGGACAATCATGGAACACGTGTTGTAGCCATACTGCGGAGAAAACACGTTCCCGCCATCCGGACTTTCACCAGGGAACTCTCACAGACGATAAGTTCCTCTTTTGACTTGCTCCCATTTATACGTGTTGCAACCCACCGCTGTCAACCATAATGAAAACTTTTATTAGTGCACATACCTTCTGATTTGTGTTATGGCCCTCATCAACAGTGCACTAATAGGAGAACCCAAAAGTCTTCTCGACTGCTCAGCAGGATGCCTTCATCACTGGACTGCGTCTGCCAGAGTAACTGCTCAATCAGATTTGTATCTTTCGGTTCCTGAAAATATTCGTGATACTTCGTACACGTCTATGGAGATATCTGTGAGTTCGAAAACATCGTGATAAGAGTTGAACACTAGCCTTCAGCTACAGGCGGCCAGTCAGTTGTGTGGTGAACTCTCATCGGGGTACTCTTAGTCCTATTCCAGTTACGCAGTTGTGCTCTAGGTGGAAACATGTCAACACACGGTTCACGTGACCAGGTGAGTAGCTTGGCCCACCATAAGTAGTCCTCGGAATTTTTGTGGTGATTTCATCCTATGAGTGAAGCCAATCTATGCTGAAAAGCCGAGAAGCACTGTACAGCTGTTTCATCCTTATTGGGAATCATCAGCAGTGCGCATCTCACGAAACTCCGAAGAGTCTCGAACCCACGACCTCCCGGCTAGTAGTTTGAACCCTTAACCATTCGGCCAGTCACTTACAGGATGAAATCATCACTAAAATCCCAAATCTCCTCACTACCGACAAGTACTCGGAATGTTACCACTTTAAAAGTAAGGGGATCTATGGGTTTAGACAGACGCAGATGCAGTCCTGCCTACATCCGCCCAAATTTTACATTACATCTAATCTGTTGGATATGGCACGACGGCGGTCAATCAATTGTCACAACCAGGACAGTTACTGGGTCGTCGTTCGATGAGTCGGGCACACCAATCACATCGCTCAAGTATCAACACGTTGGGCTTAAAATTCAGATGCGCCCAACGTACGTTGGTGGAGTAGTGGTTACACGCTTACCTCGCATATCAGATGTCCGGGGTTTGAATCCCGGCGCGGCCATTGGATATGCACTGCTGATGAGCTCTAGTAAGAGCGAAACTCGAGTCCAGTGCTTCCCTTTGGTGTGGACACACCTGAATAATTACGCCAGAACAGGAACACGGTCGTTCAAGCGAGAGTCGTGTGGCTATGCACAAAAAATACCTATCCCGCAAAACCTCAGAATTACACATCAGTTGGGTGTTGCTCGTCTGATGTTACCATGCAAACGATGTCTCAGCAAAGCAACCAAAAGTAACTTTGCTGTAGGGTTACACATTCCAGGATACGTCGAGGATCAGGAGACCCATTCTTGTTGCTACCAACCGCTCTTGACCGAAGATATTACCTTGACCAGAAATCCAAGCCTTTTAGTCGTTTCGCCTTAAAAACAGATGGCTTTTGCTGCGCGGTAAAGGTAATTGGCAGTTTAAGGGATTGCGAGCAAGCATACCGTTTACAAGTGGTACCGGAATGAGACACTGAGTGAAGGTTTGTCGGAGCAAAAGTACTGGGGGACTACAAGACATCCTGCTTGGAAATGTCAAAGTATTCGTAGTTCGTTTACTAATTACTGATCAGGTGATTGTGCTCTGGTCGCCAATCCCGGCCGCAATCGTTTCGTCGCCAGTCAAAGAGATATCATCATCGCTGAGTAATGATGTCTCCTCGAAACCTCCGCAAGTCAGTTGCGGACGGATCAGTAGCCCTCTGGTGAATGGCTTTTTACCTTCTCTTGAATGCAGAAAGAAACCCTCACTCAGTGATTCATTCCTGGTAGGATTTGTGAAAACATTACGTCGAATGTTCTGCCATCACTGGTTATCAACCCGTAGAGTGGAAAAAACACGATCTATCTAGGGAAAATTAACCCGCTCATCTAACGTGTCAGGTGAACAGAGTTTAATTTCCAGATTAAAGCTCGAACTCATGTCTCCCTCCCAGGACGGAACCGGACCAAGATAAGCTCACACGTGTTTGAGAGTGCAAACAAAATACTCCTGAGTATATACTACTTAATTCGTCTGGTTCTCTTGGTCGAAAGCGGAATCGCAAACATTTATGGAAACACTGTTTTCCAGCTGGTATTGAATACTTCAGAGCATGTAAGTAGTATGAGAAGATCAGCGAATAATCGGCAACACTCCAACATACGCTTCACCTTGTTTGCGGCGTACTGAGAAATCTTAGTCCCTTGGCCAGTCCTGGGTTCGAACTCCGGAAGCGTGACCTGTGAGGCGACCGTAAGAATTCCACCCCACCAATGCGTGTGAATTTTTAACTCCAAACGGGAACTTATGTCCTCGTTTGGTCCAATAATGTTTTGAGCTTTACTGCCAGAACAACGGCCTAGTAACTTTCCGGATATGAGCAGTGAAACTCAACGAGAAAGAACGAATTTTCCAGACAAGAGGACACGAATCATGCCTGGTATGAAAAAGACTTGGAATTCAGTCATCCGTTTCGGAAGTTCATAGTTTAGCCCAATAGTATGACTCAAAATTTCAGTATGAACCGCACAAACAGATAAGTAAGAATCCCCTCTTAGGTCTTACATTTCAAGTAACTCAGAGAGTTTCCAAACCGCGACCTTCTGGTTAGCGGTTCAAGACTTAGCCCTTCGACTGATCAGGAATGTCGTTAGCTCTCAGTTTTAACCGGACATAGCGTCATTCACCCTTCAATCACGGAAGCTAAGTCACGTGGTCGTTTACTGAGTGGTTCATCGAGTGATAACTTCTCCGGAGGAAGTTTCACTCATATAATGCATGAGTTAGCTCTGAGCCACCTATCGATTGATGGCCACGTGAGTAGACTTGGCGATGTTCAACAGATTAGTATTTTTCGCTCTTGTTGACGGACCTTTAGTGCCCCTCTAACAGAGTACCCCAACTAAGTTTCTATCAAACTTTTGGTTGTGCACAAAGGATTGCAATGACAGAATTACATCTGACTCACCTGTTCCGTGATGCAGTAGTGTTCACATGCCTTCACTTTTTGGCACACGTTTACTTCGAATTCACATCGAGGCCCGTCAAATCGCACTGGACATTCGCATCGTCCGTCTGGCATGCATATTCCGCCGTTCTGACACCCAGCACCGCATCTCTCTGATTCTCTCACACAGGTACGTTTGTCCGGTTGTAGAATGTACCCCGTATTACAGCTGCATTCATAAGATCCAGGTGTATTTTCGCACCGCTGATCACACTGGTGTTGAACAGGTGCGTCGGGGGCACATTCGTCGATGTCATGTTCACACCGCACACCCGTGTATCCTGGCTCACACTCACATCTTGAACGGTGAGTACCGTTCTGGTAATCATAATCCACGCGGCATTCACCGTGGATGCAACTCCGACCATAACATGGCCCAGTGTCATCGTAACACTGAGGGTCACACGCTTCCTGAAGACATCGATTCCTATCTGACGGATCAATACGATAGCCTGGGTCACACTGACATAGATAAGATCCATATGTATTCACACATCGCTGCATGCATTTGTGTCTTCCTGTCGCACATTCATCCTCATCCTCTGCGCAATCGATCCCAGTAAATCCGGGGATGCAAACGCATCTGCCGGCCTCGCTGCAACTTCCTTGACCACGAACACACGGAGGATGACATCCAACCGGTCTGCACCGATTAGGATACTGCGGATCTGGTTCATATCCTTGATGACAGCGGCATTCATATGCACCTTGAGTATTCACACAAACCTGCTCACATGAGTGTGTTCCAGCCCTACATTCATCCACATCTTGTTCACACCATTCCCCCTCAAATCCGGAGTAACACTGACAGCGTCTTTGTTCGTCACAATATCCCTGGCCACGAGTGCATCTTGTCTCGCATGTTTCAGCTACCACGCAGCGGCTCGGATCTCGCGGGTCAGTTTGATACCCGCCATGACATTCGCACCGAAAAGACCCGTAGGTATTCACACACAAATGCTGGCAGCCGGCAGCGCCACTCAGACATTCATCAATATCCATGGTACAGTTTGAACCAGTCAAACCTGTAGGACAAGCGTGTTTGAATTCACAACCCTTCCCCTCAAATCCTGGGTCACAGTGACATTGCTTAGTGGTTCGGTCACAACGTCCGCGACCGCTACAGCCGAGTGGGCATTCAAACACATCCATTTCGGCCGAAATGCACGAAGTTGCATTGGGCCTCCACGGATCACAGATGCATTTCAACGGTGAAGAAGAGTTGCTTTCACGCGCACACCCATGGACACATTGTAATGCATACTGGTTTTCACATGTGGCCGCATCGAAGATGGCGCAGGTTGGGCCGGTAGCGGTCACGCGACATACTGCCGGACATTGCTGTTCTCCGGGACACTTTGGATCACATTCTGTTCCAAGACAACTTGTCGTTGTTACCTGTCTTTTTCTGCACTGTTGTCCTTCATTCTCATCGCAGCTGGCGGGGATACAAAATGGTGGCGTGCACAGACCATCATCGTATACGGAGGTACCGGTACTATAGGGCCAGATAAACTGTTCGTCGGAAGCCAGGTTTGTCTCAGCCGTTTGCCCGTACCCCCAAAACTGCCCCTCCTCGTTCCAAATCATTCTCTTGGATTGGCCAACATCCTCATCTCTGGTTACGTCACCGATCGCTGGGAGATGTTGGTATGGAATGAAGGGCACCACAGAATCCTGTCTGACTCCTTTGTTTCTCGCTTCTGGATGCCAAAGAAGCGAGTCTGGTGTTTGTTGTGTGTCCATCTGCATCCTGTTTGAAAACCCTCTTTGTTTGGTGTGTTTTCGCAAAAGATCAAGTCGACGAATCGCACGATGAACGGGATGCGTTGCGGTGAAATCCGACGGTCCCAAAGGATGATTGTAGATATTACCGCCACGGAACCAAACTCCATTATGGCTGCCGGCGTATTCTTCCGTCTTGTTAAGATAAGGGTTGACATACTTATTCCATCTGCGGTCTTCAGTGGATAGTCCAATTGTGGTTGTATATACTATGAGACAAAAGACCGCGTTAGTGTTACTCAGATACATTGTGCTTTACGTCACACTACAGTGTGCAGACGCAACCATGTGGTTCAACTCCGCCATGTCGGTGACCGGCACGGTTTTCCCGTCGTCGGTCTGACCAATCGGAACAATCGACCAATGGAAATGCAGCCAGATTGCTGCCAAAATTTTAGAGTCCGTACTACTGTTATATTTGTTGGTAGCTGGAAAACAAACCGATAGAAATGTCAGCCTAAACTGCTCTGGTTGACCCGCTCTGGGATGACTTCGCAGATAGAGTTCATGTGGATTTTGTGACATATCCCTTGAGACACATTACTTGTCATTTGTACCAAATGAAGTGATTTTCAAGCATTCCATCAGGAGTTTATCATGTGAGTTATGTCTGCCTCTATTGGAAAACGAAGGAAATGTTCTGTCAAGAAGTAAACAGAATGAAGTCGAATTGTAACCATTGTTGTAATAATGAAGTGGAAATAATCGAAGAAGAGGTAATCCCAACAACCATAATGATTCCTGGAAAAGCATAAGAAATCTGAGGCAGATTTTAAGTACAAAGCTTAAAGGCTATGTTAGGCACATATTGACCAATGAGAACACAATGTTACACATGACCGAGCGCACACAGAAGTCAGCAGTCAAGCATGAAGTTTGTGCACGAAGTTTGTCGTCAAGCAAGGCACACAAGTGAGAAGAGGCAAAGGTGTAGATGTTAAGTACGTGGGTTTTGTAATGCACTGCTCATAAGGTTGCTGAAACTTCGGCGACAACCCACGACCGCTTTCGCCCTTCTTGGGGCTAATCAGCAACCTTATGAGTAGTGCATTACGAATGTACATGTATCGCGATATCTCGAATATCGTCGCGACTGAAACATGAAGCAGCACATTCCGTTGCCTGGAAACATCACAAACGAGACATTCAGTTGGGTTCCAGGTGAGTATCTCGCAAAGCCAAAGTAGTTCGCAAATGAGTGTATTTCGCTAAATACGCGGGTTTTGTGTTTGACTAATGTCGACATAACATGAATTACCCGCGAGGTATAGCGAATTCTCCAGCTGAGGCCTCTGGACATTTTTTATGTCCATGTTTGCCCCAGATGAGTTTTTCCATGAAACCCGTTTTTTAGTTCGTTCACAATCCAGCGTGGAATAAACTTTATTATGTTTTGTTCTTCGATAAATGCACTCATTTGAATATCAGTGCCGTTTTGACGGGAGACTCACCAGCTGAATCTCCGGGATATGATGTTCTTGAGCAACTGAGCGTGTGGCGCCAGACGATCTCATGCTTCGCTCGGTACGATAATCAATATATCGCGATACATGTATGGACGTAATACACTACTCACAAGGTTGCCAACCACGACTGGATCAGCCCGCATGACTCTCTCATCAAGACCAAAATGTTATGTTAACAAGTGTATTATTCGAAATCTGTCCAATTTGAATTCAAATAAAACATAAAAGTGACGGAAACCCTGATGAGCCTCAAGCAGGGCGAAACCGGTCGTGAGCTGCCAAAGTGTTTAGTAGTGTATCACGTCTATGCATTTTTCTTTCTTGCTCTGATCCTCAGGTTCGCCACAAGTGAGTTACGCGTTAATGTACTACACTCTGTCACCTGGGAGATACTGAGCCTTTAAAAAAGCCTCAGGGGGAACAAGCAAAGTAGGCTTTCTTCAGATGGAGAAAAATTTATTTTCTTCTACCACCAAACCAAATTTGAGTGATTATTTCCGCCCATCATCGGTTTTGCCGTCGGATTTATCGATGACTTGTGTACCAAAGTCCACAAAGGAACTTGCTTCGTGTTGGTGAACAAATATGTAGAAGATGCTGTAAATTGTTGCAAGATTAGTAAACTGAATGAATCAGTTAAATGATTGTTGATTGTTTCTCAAGTAAGAATAAATCCAACTGAAAATAATGTGTCGGTAACCATACAAAGACCTACGAAGTATAATATACTACTTATTGCTGAATGTCGCCTTTTGGCTTCTCCAAAGAATTATTCACGGTGGCAAAAAACATATCGTCACGTGCCCAGTAAGGTTGTGTTCCCACACCCCTCCAGTAGATTGAGTCATCTTCATGGCTTGGCCCAAGTGCTCGAACGACAGGGGACGGATCATGGCGGACTTCGCGATCCGTCCATCGATCGACGCCTTGTTGCCCGACAAACGACTCCTGATAAAGAGATTTCGGCAGGCTGGATCGAACACCGTTGAAACTGGTCAACAACTGTGCATCGGCGATTTCCGAACGTTCAGCCTTTATCGGCTGCGTTCGGATGTGTGTTTTGGAGAAATCCACGAAGTTTTCTGTATACGTTGATGTTGATTTCATAGTTTGTGACTTGGCGGGATCTTCCGGTAGAGGAACAGCAGGTCTGGGTTTCCAGTCCCATGCTTCACGCATCAGAACCTGAGAAAGAGGGATTGGGTCCATCCATGAATGACAGTCTTTAGGTTTGTTCTTCACCACTGCCTTGGTGTTTTTCTCTTGGAAACGGTGCAGTGGATCCACAAACTCTTTGCAGTAAACAGACTGATAACAGTGATCGGTCTGGGGTTGGAACGCTGGAACACCGGCTTTCTTACGTCGTTCAGTTTGTTTTGCTGTCTCTAGGCCATTTATTCCTTCCTCTTCCGGTCGAATCGCCTTGGAGCGTTCTAAAATTAGAAGGATAAAATCACTGCAGTTGTGACGTACCGGTGTTCTGTGCACCACTACTGAATTAAGACAAAACCGAATTTAGAAACAACTACAAAACGTTAATCGGCTGTGAAAAGTTTACGATTATCTCAAGTCTGAAATCCGATATTCTTTGAAGGATTCTACCCCTGGTATATATCTCCATGAGCATTGATCAAATGCAGTGCATAACCTGTAGAGTATCAACTCAGTTACAGTCATTCTTGGGGTGGTATACAATCAGGAAGTTGCTGAATCAGTGGGCAGTTTTTATTCAACCCTTTGTACGTCCATCTTCGAATTGCTTCAATAATATTTTCATGAAGGAACCTACTACTCACAAGGTTGCTGAAAACTCTTCGACAGCCCACGACCGGTTTCGCCCTTCCACTTCGGGCTCATCAGGTAGGCGCAGTCCCAGAGTTTCCGTCAACCATATGATCCACTTGAACCCAAGTTGGGCTGTTTTCGAGAAATACACTCATTTGCAACTCAATTTGATTTTCACGAAAGACTCAACTGAATCTCTCGTTTATGATATTCTACAACTGAAAGTGCTGCACACAGGTCGCCTCATGTTTCAGTTGGCACGATATTCGAGATATCGCAGTAGAATATCATAAACGAGAGATTCAGTTGAGCCTCTCATGAAAACCAAATTGACTTGCAAATGAGCGTATGCTTCAGTAATACTTTCTATTTGCAATGGACGTTGAGTATCGTTCAGTGTGGCAACTGATGCGTTGAAGCTACCCCGTGGCTACCCTATCAGGTGTTTCCATGTATACTTGCATGCATCGGTGCATTTGAAATTTCATTACCATCCATTTCGCACGAAGATAACAACAGTAGAGACTCAACTAACCGCGCTCACTGCTGATTACATTTCGACACGGATCCGCAATGTCCCAGACATTTTTATCCGAATTTAACTGACAGCAGAATGTTGAGCAAAATCGAGCCAAAAAATGTCGGGCCTAAAATTTCTCACAAAGATCACATTCTGCCAAAACTTCGATAAATGGTTTAAAAAGAACATGGGTCTTTCTGGAGGAGTTGAAAGGAGCGTGAAATGATCCATGGAATGATGTAATAAACTTCACACCTGTAATGTCACGTCACCAGTTTGTTAAAATAAATGTGTCACCATCAGAATGGACTTGGTTGCATCAGGGTCAATTTCACCATGGTCCTAGTGTGGCATTCGTCCCATCCCCACGAAGTGCCCTTCTGCATTCTGGCTTTTGATTGGTCAATTGCTAATCACGTGACAAACCGCACGCTACTTCTAGGTCTGCCAGCTCGGACGCGGACCAATCAGGATTGCTCAAACAAGTCCACTGACTGGACACAAATCTACTGGTTTGATCAAGCTGGGTCGCCAAACTGACAATCCCCTGGTCACATTCGGTTTAAACAGAGCAACCGCTTACCACACCGAGCTGCTCAATCAACTTCGCAATCCGTTCAACGTCACTTTCGACGCAGCCTTCAACTAAGCGAAAAATTCATGCATCTCCACGTGCAGCTGAATGTCCGAAAGGTTAATTCCACAATCATCGACGAGTTATTCGAAAAAAATCATTTCCTGAGGGAAGGGACTAACATGTTCGGTGAGGTAAACTCTGTCATCGTAACCGATTCCTGAGGGTGAGTCCCGAGACACTCATTTCACGCGTAGAATCCGCCGTCATGCCTTCGCTTATACCCGAAGCTAAGGAGTTGCAATCGATTTCAATGGATTCTTTTCATATGCTAATACATTTGCTCGTTTCGCTTGGTCAGCTGTCCGTTGACTTCTTACTTACTGTCTTAGGCTCATCAAGTGTTAAGTACGAATGAAAAATGCATGTTCTTCATCTCCTGTCCGTTTTTTCATTTTTAAGGTCACCCGGAAAACGTGGAATCGTCAGATGTGTATAGACCACTGTTTACTAGAGAAAACTAAAAGCTCTGTAAAATATTTTCCAAAACTATTTAGAGCTTGGAAAATCAATAAACCCAATAATTGTGTACACAAGCGTAACCTCTGCTGATTAGATAAGAAGAGTACAGTCCATTTGTCAGTAAATAGTAATTCGAGACTGTTATCCCGTATCCTTAGAAAATACTTCTAGAGGATTCGCAAATATTTCTTCGCCAAGAGAGGGCGATCAATAAGAACTTGACCGCTTGTCAGGGTGATCACTTCCCCGCCTCATGTGGCTCAGCAAAGCCCCACCAAGTTTATCACTTTGACCTCAATAGTGATTGCTGAATTCAACTGGATTGATGCTTATTGGCCTTTGCGATAGACTTGGCTATAAATACATATACACTTATATATATATATATATATATGAATGTGTATGTACATATCAAAAGTTGTTTTACTTAAAAGTACTTATGCGCAAAACCGGAGTGTAAACTTATTTACAGAGCTCACCTCCTTTGTCCCCACGATAATTCAGACCGTAGTGAGATTGATTCTCCAGCCTGACCCAACTTGGAGCAAACTTTAACATGTCCTTTCGTCGTTCGTGTCGCACTCCATAGAGTTCCTTTAGGTCAACAGCGGGCGGAACTCCAGTGTTCATGTTCGTTTCAGATGACATCATTGGTCTGTGGTTGATTGAATCTAAGTTGTTTTGATCGGCCAATCGTTAGAGCTTCCAGCGCTGTCTTCAAAAAGGATCAATTAACCTCGATGTTAGTCACTAAATAAAGAAGTCCCGTGACACGGTTCAAAACTTTTCTCAGAGTGATCGATAGCTTGTTTTCTTAAAAGACACAACAATGGGCTGTTCGTCTGTCGCTCATAAGACACACAACCGCTTCGGACTACTCAGGCGGTACTCACTTGCTGCGGATGTGCAAGCCTCAAGTTATTGTTAGAAAATGCACACTCGTACAGAGTCAGCTGGAAGAATCGTTTTTCGGTTTGGTTTCCCCCACAGAAAGCATTCATCCAATGTTTGCGTTCAGAAGCCCAGACGGTCAAGCGACCTGTCACTGATTGGCTGAGTACCGGTTAGACGTACGCACACGCGCACGTGCTTGCACCAATAAAATGTCAGTTTACCCAATCCAGACTTTAGGCCTCTTAAACGTGTATGAGTCAGGAGGTTTTTGTAAATATTATAGACGTTGGAAGCATGATTTTCATGAGTGCTTCCAACATCAAGTGACATTCAGATGTTCACTTATTCAAAGGGTGTGATTAACTCACGACGTACTAAGGCTTATAAAAGTGGCCTGTTCTACAAAACTAGTCAAGGTCAAAACTTTATGCTGAATAACAGTAGTTCTGAGTTGTTTCAGCTTCAGAGAGAGATGTTGATTCAGACGTCCAGTGCAGTGTTCACCCTCCCCCCCCCCGACTATGAACAACAAAAAGTTAGATAGAATGCTTTCTGTAGCAACAGTGTCACACAAGCAGAGTTGCTCATTTGATCATACAGTTTATTGACGAGTGTTTTGTGCATTCTTTTGTATCGATCAGTTAAGAATGACCTTCACTGTGTTATCTCATTGGTTCATCCACCTTTGTCTGATGACAGCCTGCAAGACCCTGCTCAGTCCAGCACATGGACAGCAGATCCTCTTATTCGAATACCGTTTTTTTCCGTAGAACAATGTCAAATGTGCTGATCGGCACTTTCCTAACACTAAGATACTTGTCCCTACTCTTGGGTACTTCTCAGGTGTGTTCGATCGGTTACATATACGATTCAAGCGTAATTTGTTACGAAACTCGGTGCCCGATTAGTTTGTCTTACTGAGACTTTACTCTATTCAAATAGAACACTTAAAAGTAGACTTGTTGTTCTGAGCACCAGCTGGTGAGCACACCTATTTGGATATCTTACCATCATATCAGGTAATGCGTCTTTTTATGTTCCAGGAACTAGAGCCGACCATCATTTAAATGTTCTACTCGACTATCACCTGTAAAACTCGTTTCTGCCGTCAGTCTTCAGTTAGCTCCTTATTCAATAATCACCTAGGGAAGATCGAAGGATAGGGCGAATCTACTCTGACCAAGACAAATCACGTGATCACGTCATGCTACCTAACGGAACTGCCTTTGTTGTGGTGTGCACCTGACACCCCATTCTTTGTGAAAAGTACAATCGAACCTGATGTCAATTTTATCCACGCCAATAACTATTTGTTTTTTGTTTGATTCTGACGAGAGAAAATAACGCGACCAAAGTTTTGGAATTACTTAAATAAGTTTTAAATCCATCTGCCCAAGTAACACACAGAAACAGGTCGCAATTTATTTCCGAGATCTACGTATCCTGTAGAAACTTCGCTACAGCTTAAATAAGCCGAAAAATAACAGCAAAAAACTCGTATGTTCTGAATAGGTTCTGAATGGTCAGTCACCGAGATGTTTGGTCAAGTGAGACAAGGATCAGTAAAACTTCAGTTTTTGGTCACACACAATGTTCCTTCGACCTGTCCTCTGCAGTGCTTAAACCAGGTAGAACAGGGGACACAGATGTGCTTAAAAACTGCCGGTTCTATTTAGTTTATCCGTTCTCACTGCATAAGTAAACTATTCCATCAACATGCTGTCGAAGGAGTGCAGCCTTGCTACAAAGGGAGTCCTGTTCCAAATCCTTGAGAAGAGAGCTTTGGGAACAGATTGTTTCATACTTTGATAAGTGTACTAGTGTACGACAAATGAGAATTACACCTTTCATGAAGGAGACTACTCACAAAGTTGCTGAAAATCCGTCGACAGCACACGACCTGTTTCACACTTCCACTTCGGGCTCATCAGGTAGGCGCAGTCCCCGAACTTCCGTCATCTTACGTTCTAACTGAACAGTTGTAGAATATCATAAACCAAATTCATTTGCAAGTGAGTGTATTCCTCGAAAACCATTCAATTTGGGTACAAGTAGAACCTAAGGTTGTCGGAAACTCGGGGACTGCACCTACCTGATGAGCCCGAAGTAGAAGGGCGCAC